CACCTAGGACCTGTCTGCCATGGGTGACCCTACCAGGGGCATAAAGCCCCAGACAGCATAGCTCCTAGGATCATTGGGACACTCAAACCCCTCCACCACGATAAGGTAGCAGCCCAAGGAGAGATTAGATCATTAATCTAATCTAATTTATAGTTAAAATATTACAGATAATTTGTGACACAGATCCAGTTGTGGTGAGACAGATGCTAACAGTAGACAGGATAGATGAAGCTCACTCTGGTGTTATTTAACTCTACGGTTCTCTTAACCATCATTAAAAAAGGACTTAATCTTGTATTTATCCACCTCACCTGTTTACCCTGAAGCCTCCCAGCCTGAGCAGGATTTGTCAGTGTGAGAAAAATCTATTGAGTATTGATCTGCTGTTTGGAGGATGAAGATGGCCGAGAGGACAGGTCTGAGCTGCTATAGTGGACTACAGCTGGTGTGTGTGTGTGTGTGTGTGTGTGTGTGTGTGTGTGTGTGTGTGTGTGTGTGTGTGTGTGTGTGTGTGTGTGTTTACCCCAGGTGGATGGTGCGGATGTGTCTCTGAATGCCTGCAGTGGTACTCAGGACTTTGCCACAGTTCTTCCACAGACACTTGAACATCACCTTCATRKAGTTCTGCAGAAAACAGATCAGAGTGGAGCTCTTCACCGAACAAAGAGTAAAAAAAACTATCAGGATCCAGCTGACTGGAGGGCTCTCTGTTTCAGATAAACACTAACTCTAGTTGCTCCAGTTTCATTTTCAGATCAAAAACACACATGTGGGGTTAATTCTTGAAAAAAAAAAACATCACAGTTTGCAGCTGCAACAGTAAAAGAAAACTCTTTGAACTAATGATTAATAGATCRTCTGTTTAATCAAGCTAAAAATTCGCCTTCTTGGCTTTATCGYCGTATGCTAATTATTCCGTGGCATCGGTCGTTGATCATTGAAAAAAAAAGCAGCAAACAAAAACAATGAAAAATGATACATCTGTGGTGCAGGCAGATGTTTTCATGAGCTGTGGTCACGTAAGTTGATTTAAAGGAAGTGTGGAGAACAAAGCCACTAAAGACTATAAACTGTTATTTATATTTAGCTTTTTTAGAAAAAAAAAACATAAAAACCCAATGAGAAATATCTTCAAATATGATTTTAATTAAAGTTAATTCTGTAGATCAACTTAAACGAGGTTAATTAACCTTTTTTGTCTCTTTCAGAAAGAATAAACTCCAAAAGAAACAAATAAAAAATGATGTAAATGAAGGTTTTGATGCTACYGTCTTCATCGTATCCTGATTCAGCTACATACTGCAGACAAAAACAGGTTTTATTTTTACAACCAGGAAGAAATTCCTTCATGTTTCAGTGATGAAGGACTTGTCTCATTGTGTCATTATAAGTGTTTTCTTTCTAACCCATCCAGGACACAGATGTGTTTTGGTGTTTCGCAGCCTCCTGGCATCTGTTTGTGTTTTTTTTTTTTTACCTGGGTGACTTGGGGCCACTGATTTCCTGTGCCAAGACCTGACCTTCATCATCCTCAGCTCCTATGTCTCTATTGTTCTCTGGCAGCCCTTCCTCATCTGCTGTCGCTGCAATCATCCTCACCAGAGCCAGGGGGATTTTCAACAGTCTATTCTATAGGCTTTTCTAATCTGTGCTGAACTTATGCTCCACAAAAAAAAAGACACAATGATCCTTTTTACTTACACAACCTGCATAGGTAAGGCTGTGTTTTTTAATGAAACCCCATTTAAAATACACTGATTTATAACCATATAACTTTAATTTAAACATGAGTGATGTGTTCAGGTTCACTTATATTAATTACAAGCTTCATCTCTTCTATTCTTCTTATTCTATAGAAGAAGAAAAGAGGAGCTACACTGGACACAGCGCAGGAAGCGCTCCTCTATCTTTTTATTTGTCTACAGTAATTACATCACAGTCAGACTGTGTTGTTGAAGAAGCCCTGAGACTTCCCTCCCAACCCTCCCAGTTTCACAACAAGCCCTGTCTGTCGAACTTTTGTCGAGGAGACCGATTTAATTTTGACGAGATGCTGTTTTTCTTTGCACTTTATAGCAGAAACTCGAGCWCGCAGCAATCATCTGTCCCCCGTGTGTTGTTTTTGTCTCCCACAACAAAAGCTCGTTTTTGTGTTGATGTGTGTACGCTGGCTTTAAAGAACTAAATCACAGTTAATTAAATTGAGGGGGGTGGTCTTCAAACGGCATTGTGTTGCAAAAAAAAGGGAAGAAAACCAGAGGAGCGTGTAGATAATGTGAAACCCACACTGCATTTATGTTTGTTTAAAACAAGTTATCAAAGCTCTTAAAGAAAATATTCATGCTTTCATCCAAGCTTCACTGCTCCTTTTCATTTCACTTCATTTATTCACTCAAAGCGTCTCCATCTCCTGCTTTACTCTTCGTTCTGATAAATCCCAAACATCAACAGGAGCGAACCCTATAGATTCAGAGGTTGTAAAGACCTTTGTGTTTGCTGTAACAAGTCTAGCTGAGGAGTAATTATGAGGGAAGAGCGTTTGGGGAGGACAGACAAAGAGAGTACATGTGAGAGCAAGGCAAGAAGATGGTGGGGAGAACAAATCGAGGGACAGATGGATGAGACTGTCAGAGAAGAGGAGCACAGCRGCACAACGGGATGGAAATCTGAGAAATAATGAGTGACAGTGAGCTGTCAGACGTGTGCAGAAATGAGAAAAGGGGGAATGATGAGTGAGAAAAAGAGGTAACATCACCAGTAGAAATAACACTGAGTGTGTCCTCTGTCCTATTTTTCATCTCAGTCATCAGTCAGGGTTCAGATTATGTTCATAACTGAGTCACGCTGCTGCGAGGAGCCAAACAGCTGATGTTCACCTGACAGCAACGTTTTTATTAGACTTTATGTCGCTCATTCGACCAGTTTCTCTTAGATGTTCCCAGATCCGAGCTGAAATTCAGAGGTGATCGGGTTTTTACAGTTTCTGCCCAGAACCTGTCGAGCAGTTTACCGTTTTGTTCTCAGACCGCTGAGCCTGTCGAAACTTTTAAATCCAGGCTTAAAACCCATCTTTACTCCTTTGAGAGTCTTTCAGAGCTGATGTTTATGTRGTATTTCTGTATTTTATTTCAATTTTACATATTTTTTAATATTTCTGTTTCTTTGTTGTTGTTTTATTTGTTCGTTTGGCTRAATTGTGAAGCACTTTGGTCAACTTTTGTTGTTTTTATGTGATATGTAAATAAATTGACAACTTCAGCCATATGTAGTCCGTCTTTAATTTTTTTTGTCTCATCTCTAACATTCTCTGTGGTCACTTAATTTTTATAGAACAAGTGTCTAACTCAAGACCCGTGGGCCAAATGTAACCTGCAACAGCATATTGTGTGGCCCACGAGAGCTTGAAATATGTATTAATGTCTTAAACTAAGCTGCTTTAAAGTCAGCGGTAACATTAAACTACATCTCCCATAATGCATGTCGATTATTTTACCTGCGAAATGACAGCATCCCACCACTAAGTGGAGCTGCACAGGGTTCAAAACTCACCAGGAGCCAGTGAAATTCGCTGTGTAAAATCTCCATTTTGCTGCAGCCCAGTTGTACTAACAGGTGGGAATGTCCCACTTACAAGTTGTAAATTTAAACTGCAATGCCCCTCCAATGGGAATTCCCTGTCAAAAAGCAGGAGAGTTCAGAATTCAAGACGGCAGCTATCTACCACAACTCATCAGTGAGTAAAACTTTTAATAGTATTTCTTTATTATTTATTTCACATTTAGTCAGTCGTACATGCAGAACTTTTCAGTGTTTATAAGACAACGATGTTTCTGTGCAGGAAATACTACGCAGAGCTCAGTTACTGTTCGCTAGCGGTGCTCAGCCGTAGCAACGAGACAAGTYGAAGTTAAGCACAAAACATTGCAGTTAGTTACAACTGGCCCTTTGAGGGCCACCATAAATCCTCATGTGGCCCTCCGTGAAAAGGAGTTTCACCCCGCTATAGAAAACAGACTCGCACACAGCTGTAAGTGAACTGGTTGAGCTGCAGTTTAAACTCTACAACAGAACTCACCTTGCGTTTGCGAGGAATGGGCTCATCAAAAAGCAGGCTGCTGCCRTCCTGCTCATCCAGACTGGGATCCTCGACCCCCGTCGGGCCGGGCCCTGCGCCGCCCTGGCTCGGTACGCGGAATGGCTTGAAGTTGTCGGCGGAAAGTGGAGGGGAAGGCGTGGAGGGATTGGACTGGTCGCTGGGCGCGGACCAGCTCCAGTAGCCTCCTGAGGAGCTGTTGCTCGATGGGGTGAAGGGTCCTGCTGARCCGTTGTCCTTCCAAGAACCACTCAGAGCTTCTAAAGGAGGCGAATGAGACCACAGAAACAAAAGGTGTGAGGAAAGACAGATGCTGTGCAGAAGKGGGCCTTGGGATAAGTGGTTTAAACTTTCTTTTAAACCTATAAGGAGATAATGGTTCTAAGACATTTGGGTAAGTTCAGCTTTATTTTCACTTCACACAAATACATCCTCACAGCAACACAGCTGACTGTGATGCAGGAAAATAAAAGCTCACTTTTCTGTTCTGTGATTCCACCGAGACGCTAACAAGGTCTGGTTTTTATAGATCAAAGAAACGTTTCCTTTAAATATCACCAACAAAAGGCTTCACGCATTGGATTAAAAAAAGAAAAAAGCTGAACAGAAGTTTGTGTTTCTAACAGGCGGAGCGAGGAGAGACCCAGTTCTGTTGAGTAAACAGCTTCTTTGTGGGGTGTCTCTCCTCCAAAGACTTCTGTCTTTCATTACTGCTGCAGATATTTACATGAAACACAAAGCTGCTCAGCAGCCAACGCCAGTCAAGATGGAGTTTAACACRTGCGCTTAATCAAAAGCTCCGTATATAATCTTTACTTGATTTGTGCATTAAAACAACAAACTGTMAAACTGGTGATTAAAATCAAGTTTACACGAGTATGACTGAGACGTGTCTAGCCTTTGACCTATTTTAACCTTTTGTATCAAAAACAATCAAACATGTGACTCCAGGTGGGACACCTCAGATTCCTGCCACAATAATGATGCAAACTATCTGTGCTGTTCATTGATGAGGTGTTGCGACGGCACAGCAGGTGGCAGGAATCCATCAACCTTCACGAGATAAGAAAATGTCTGAATACAGACATGTTTGAGTTGAGACGGCTGCAGGTGTATTTATAGCTGAGCAAAAGCATTTGTCTCATGCTACTCACCACTGACTTTGACAGGTGGACTCCTGACCAGCGGRCTCGTGGAGAGACTCGTCAGCACCATGGCAGCCGTCACCTTGTCCATATCCACCTCCTCCTCAGACCGTCTGACAAAACAAAGCATGAAAGAAATAAATCTACAGTGAGCATCCTCTGTGTCTGCTTATAGGATGGAAAAAYTCACAGATAATTGGAAAAAAATAGATAAAATTGTCCTATTTTGGTTTATGACACTACACCAGTGGCTCCTTTTGCTAGAACTGAATTGTTAATCAAGTTAAGTGATGCTGTGTAAGTTGTTTTTGCACATAAACCTGTAACGTTGCTGTCAGCTGTTTATCAAAGAGTTGGTCAACTTTTAGAAGATAACCAAGAGATTAACACGGAATACTTGTGMCAAAGATGAAATAACAAATGATGGGGAAAAACATGAAAATATAGATAAAATATTCGTAACAAGACTAAAAAAAAACACAAGTAAAAAAGAAAAAATGAAGAGCCAAAGAACAATTCAATTTCACCTCTTGGCCAAATATTCTCAGATAAACAGTTTGAGATCTGCGTCCTGCAGTGACTGAAACATGAGCTGCCAATTACAATTAGATTCACTKGATGTTTTTACCTTTTTGTGCATCTGATGCAACCATGAGCTCATAAAACGTTACACTACCCAATAAAAACAGGCCAAAAGTGACGTGCATCTTATATTTTGTGATATACAAACTACTGAATCTGTGTCTCACACCAGAACAAATCCAWCACAAATATTTGTTTCATCTAATTGATGTCTTAATTGTTTCCTTCAAGAGAAATAAAGTTTTTGTGAACAAAGACACGTCAACACAGCTTTATTACCAAAGTGTACCTGTGGTGCATCTTCATCGTTAATGTAAAAAGCAGTGTGTGTGTGTGTGTGTGTGTGTGTGTGTGTGTGTGTGTGCGTGTGTGTGTGTGTGTTTGTGTGTGTGTGTGTGGATGTCAAATGATCAAACAAATCTCTACTTCAGTGATGAAATCTTCCTTTGCCGTGGAGGAAGATGACATCAGACACCCTCAGTTTTCATAACTGCTGGAATCAAACTGTACCTTTATTTGTACAGAAGAAGGWGAAAAAAACATTCAAGTTGGAATAAAAAAAATCTGCTTTTTTAACTTTCTCCAACCAAAAACAAACTCCAATTTAGCTCACACGGAGTAGAAATGTGTGCAAATAAAWTCTGAGGGTTCTGCTCCATATTTTTCATTCGTATTTGATTTTGACTTGTATAAATCATATTATTATTTTATATATCTTAACTATATGCAACAGTTTGCAAATACGGTTAAAGTAAAATCATACACAACTAGTTAAAATAAAAAGGATTTGGTTTCAAAGTAAAAAAAAAGTTTATGTTTCATTTAAAGCGTCAGAAAGCCTGTTCTGAATGTCTCGGCTGTTTTCTTGTTTTTGTGTTAACTTCAGGTTATTCACAGACCAGAGTAGCTTTCGTGTTTTTCTCCAGCTGCATTCGTTGAGGTTTTATTTTTTGCCCGTCAGAGCCTGTTGCAGACTGAGGACCTGTGTTTGACACAACTTAAATCAGCCAAAGGAGCTGWGGGGGATTTCCAGAGCTACTTTTATAAACTAAACCAGACCTCTGAGGGATTATTTTCGGAATGCGCCTCTTTAAACTGATTTTAACACAGGATAAAAGCTGTGCTCTGTACTATTGTTTCCTATGATTAGAATAATATGCATTAAAGGAGACATAATATGCATTAAAGGAGACATATGCTTTGAATCAGTCTTTTTCACATTTAAACCATCCAATTAGGGTCTATATAAAGTGGAACTTCAATATTTTGGTCTGAATTCCTCCTCACTGTAACTCCACAAGCCCCCCTGTTTTGAGGTGTCTGAGATCAACTTGTTTTGGTGCTGTCTCTTTAAATGCAAACCAGGCACTTCACACCCTGCCCTCCCCCAGGTCTCATTGTCCACCTTTCGACCATTTTTGTAATAGATACCAGAGATACGATTATCTCGAGGTGCAAAAACTGATTAAAGTCTTGTCCATCCAGCCTTACTTGTTGAAGCCAGAGTCTGACCCAGAGCCAGAGGAGAATGAAGAYGATGAGCCTGCAGAACTGCAAAAGTGGTTAGCTGGAAGTCGATGACCTTGTTTAGATACTGCGACTATAGAAAACTGAATGGACTAGGAAATATGACCTAAAAAGTATATAAAAAGATATCTACGCAGCACTGGAAGAGAACAAATTAAACTTTTCTGCACTCATGGCAACTCCAAGTGCACAACACAATGTATATATGGACTAAAAAAGTGGATTTTGCATGATATGTCCCCTTTAAGACACAATGCTACAGTCCAAAGACACCACATGATGTCATGTATGAAATTACAAAAATTGGTTCGTTTACATTGTAGATCTATAATCTGAATCATTTACCCAGCTTTTTTACACAACTGCTACATAAATTTTCACTGTAATTTAAGTTGTGGACAGACTCCTAAAATTTATCCTCACATCAATACTTCAGCTGTGACTGAATTATGCAATTAAAGGTGTATTTACACAGGCAGAAAAGCAGAGATGTGAGGGGAGACGAGAGAGTTGGCCGACAAAGAAAGAGGCCTGGCCTCCATTAGCTGATGTCTAATTTATTACTCCTTCTGCTGCTGAATGTGATGTCATTACAGCGTCCACATAAATCAAGAAAAGAAGCTGCAAATGTCACTTTTACCCATAACCTCCCGCCCCGCGTTGCAGTAAAACCACTTCCTGGTCACCTTGGGAGGACATCATCTGACTATAGATATGATCTCCACAGCGACACTGTGAGGCAATAATTACACCAAAATTTGTCCGTCTTGAAATACCAACGAGTCAATCTTAAGAAAAATACATTAGTACGACAAATAATTAAGATGTAATGCACGATGTGGAGGKAAGAAGAAGAATCTTCCCAAATCACTTTTGTCATTAGTGGTCTTATCAAAGTGAAATTATGTCCGAGTCGTTATTACGGTTTTAATTAGCAAAYGCCGGGAGCGTGTTTGTGTGCTGGGAGAAACGCTAGGACACATGATACATGTGACACAGGAGACAGGGCAGGCTGGGTAATGGATTGCTGAGTGAATTCTTAGAAATGAGTTTCATACGTTGAGATGTTTTGTGTGCATTTTAATATTTTCACTTTAATCATTTGCAATAAAATGTCTCCATCCCCGAGGCGTTCTGAAAGAGGGCATTATCCTGGACGTATGGCATCATCAGCGGAAAACTGCGGACAAAGTTAAGAGCTTGTTTACTAAAGCAGATTACACTAAAACAGATCTGYGTAATTTCATCCTGCAGCTGCCAGCGATTCATAAACGGAAAGTCAAATTTCACCGGAGATGCGGTTAAAGGCGTTAAAAATAAAACAAACACTAATTTAAATGTATTCTCCTAACGTACGAACATCCCTCTTTTTGAATTATCTGCTAAATTTACGGCCGCCTTTAAATACTTTTATGCAAAACTGCGTCCCTGTCCTCTCTGAGATTTTTTTTTCACATGTACACAATAAAACACTTACATTAAGCAAAAAGAATGATCGCTATGTTTCACATTGTTTTCTTTCTCTCTGCTCTCAGGTTAATATTGAAATGCTCTCAGTCACTTTAACTAACCAGTTTTACTTTACGAAACAGAAACACAATGTAAAATATAAACGCAAATAAGTTTGAAAATTAAAAAAATAATAATTTACCTGTTGTTTTATTGCATTTGCTCAAATAAATTCTGTTCGTACCAGTAATCAAAAACTAGGATAAAATTTAAACAACACATAAAAAAGCAGTACAAGCTTAAATTTGATCAATTTAAAAACAGATATTAAAATAAATTAATAAACTGACCGTTTTAGCTCCAAAAACAATTCTTTCCGGCAGCAGGAACAAAACATTTGAAAACAAGTAAGATCTTAAAATTTCACGGACCAATGAAGTTGCTGTTCTCTTTACAGATAAAAAAAAACAGTAGGAGTGTCAAAGAGATGCTGATCAGCTGAATACTCCCACACAGTCCTTAGGCGAGGTCTTATCAAGATAAAATAAGTGAGACCATGTGTGTGTGTGAGCGGACACAAGTTGTGTTGAACTTTCACTTTTAAATTAGGGAGTTAATGGGACTTTCTGATGTTTTTTCCCAGTCTTTCTTACATACAGAGTGCAATAGACAATAAATGAATGTATGAACAAATAAAGACAAAAATTAAATACTGTACAAAAAGCTTGTATTAGATTCTTATATTTAAATGAGAATTTTTTGGTTAGTTGAACTAGAAAAAAGCAACAGAACCTTTCTTAAGTGTGTTGATGTGCAAATCAATTTAATTTAATGTTAACGATTTAACACAGAACTCACTCCAGGGATCTTCTATTCACTCTGGCCTGGAACATCAGATCCCAGAGGAGCTGGAAGGAGGGATGTCTGTGTTTTCCTCCTGGATGGATGGATGGATGGATGGATGG